CCCGCCCTCCTTACCTGTATTTGACCCAACTGGGCCATTTGCGCACATGCACGGAGTGTATGGCACCTGTGCAGCGCTCTGCCGAGCAGCTAGAGCATCACGGGTAGTGGGTGTGCATGTGCGTCCAGCCCCATCGCAGCGTACCGGTTGCGATGGGTTCTGGAACCCACCACTGCCTCTGAGGTGGGTAAAATGAGGACCCAGATTGTTGGGGTCAATAGGCTGGCTCTATAAACTGCTTAGAGAAGGCCGTAAAAGCACTGTGAAGTGGTATACAAATCTAAGTGATATTGCTATTTCACTGAGGCAGAAATTTGTTTCTTAAATAAACCTTAGCCACAGAGCAAAATCTGTCTGGAAGTGTGTCTGAGATATTTTTCTTAGGGTAGTACTCTGGAGATTTTCTTCATGGTCTCTAGCTTTTCCGAGGTGGAAATCTTTAAGTTAAAGTTAGATTTGGTTTTTAGATCAGATTTTCGGCATGTCTATAATTAGGCATGAAAATACCTTTGTTTTGTTCTTCCTACTGCCAGAAAAAAAAACCTGTGGTTTAAGATGGTTTTCCTTCCTCTGTCATTGATGGACATAAACCAATAGGTGGATGTGTCAGGGTTTAATAATGTATACAGCTAATTCTCAATTTATGGCCGCAATTGAGCCCAAAATTCCTGCTGCTAAGTGAGATAGTTGTTAAGCAAATTTTGTCCCATGGTATGACCTTTCTTGCCACAGTTGTTAAGTGAATCACTCTGTTAAACTACTAGCAGAGTTGTCAAGTTAACCTCACTTCCCCATTGATTTTGCTTGTCAGGAAGTCACAAAGAAAGTAATATACTCTGGGACACTGCAAACGTCATAAATATGAACCAGTTGCCAAGTATCCACATTTTGATCACATAACCCTGGGGATGTTGCAATGGCTGTAAGTGTGAAAAACCTGTCATTTTTTTCAGTGCCATTGTAACTTCAAATAGTCACTAAACAAGTGGTTGTAAGTTGAGGACTATCTGTATTTATGATTTCCAGAATAAGTGCATTCCAATAGCTTTATAAGCCAAACCCACCTCAAATAAAGCAAAGAAAAATTAGCCAACTGCCTATTAATTACAATTACAAAATTGCAATTACAAAAGGCCATGGGCAGGACAAGGATTTCAGTTGTCTGTCTGGAATAGGTCATAAGGCTATCTGATTGCAATAGAATCTTCTTTTTCTCCTTATAGGATACATTTAGGAAATCCTGTCTGTATAGGTAAGTAAAAAGCATGAAAATATGGTGGGTTATGTCATCAATTATATGTTTGGTCTTCCTTTTTAAGGACTGCAGGTATGCTGTAGTGCCAGTTTGAGCCAGCTGGTGTTAAGGCACCAGACTAGAAATCAGGAGAGCATGAGTTCTAGTACTAACTTAGGTATAAAGCCAGCAGGGAGACCTTAGGATTGCCTGCTCTATGTCAGCCCTAGGAAGGGGACAATGGCAACACACTTCTGAAATCTTGCCAAGAAAACTGCAGGGACCTGTCTAGGCATCTGCCATAAGTTAAAACCTGACTCAAAAGTACAAAACAACAACACTTATTTTAGGAAAATCACGATTAGGGTCTGAACTAGTCCATGTTCATCAGTTGATGTGTGTACAATTTTCCTCCAGGCTGCAATTATTATTTACATGTTATTATCTAAATCTTCCATCTTCTTTGCATCTTTTTAGTTATTTATTATTACTTTCCTATCCAGCTAAGTTGGCTCACAACAGTAAAAATAGAAAGGTTAAGTCCAAATAGCCTTTGTACAATAGCAATCCTGTTTTTTTTTAAAGAAAAAGTTAAACTCAACAGTTAAAGACCTACCAAGAGAGCTGCATTGGTTTTCTAGCTAGCATGACCAAATGGTTGTCTTCGTATTTCTTATAGTCTTCTTATTTCTTATAATCAGCTTACTCCCATTTTTGTGAGGATTTTCTTGAGTGGGTGAACATTTTCTACAGCAAAGCTGTATTTTTTTAGGTTACTTTGGAAGAAAAGTTAGAAGGGATTCATTTATCACTTTCATTACACGCTCTTGAAAGTATTAAAGCAATGGTATTGCAAAGATAAGGTGGGAAATAGCTTTCCATAGGTCTCTGGATTTATCCTCCGGATCACACAAGTTGACTTCTCTACTTTTTCTTGCAGATGTGATCAAACCTGGAACAGAGAATGCAGCTGGATACCCATTTTCAAGTGGATATGGTTCTCTGGGTGGAGGATATGATATGGGATTTGGTAAAGGGTATGGAATGGGAAATCAGGGGAGAAGCAATAGGAACTACAGCTCCAGAAGTACTGGATTTGATCATACTGGAAGGAGCAATATAGCTACAGGGAATGTGTCAGCAGATGCAGAGTTCCACCAAGGAAGAGGGCATAGCTATAGGAATGAGTCCTACTCTGGTAATCCCTCTGCAGGCATGCGCCGAGCCTCAACAGAAGAGGCTGGCAGAGGTGCTGGCTATGGCCCAGGTGCAGGATTCAGCACACGAACTGCCTATGGATCAGTCTGCGGTGGAGGGAGGGGATATGGGTCTACAACGGTGGCAGGGAATTGCCCAGATGGAAACCACCCCCACAGAGGTTACGAATCCTCAGGGATTGCTCCATTTGGGGATGCAAGGTGGTGCTCTAGGGCAGGAGTGCCGATGGGGGGTGCAGCTGAAGGGAACCGAGCCTCTGTAGGAGTAGGGGCGGCAAGTGGAGTGTGTTACTCTGGATCACTAGGAACCCCTGCTGGGGTGTGTTATGCTGGACCAGCAGGAACATCTGGAGGGGTGTGTTATGCAGGACCAGCAGGAACATCTGGAGGGGTGCACTATGCTGGGCCAGTGGGAAGTTCTGGAGGACTGTGCTACCCTACAGCTGTAAGACTTTTTTAAAAAGATTGGGACAGTCTTATTTTTAACATTCAGTAATCAAGCTACTATAAAGTTGGTCATAGACCCTGACAGCACAATAGAAATTCAGCAAAACTTCTCCTAAATCCTTTGGAACAATGTCCTTGACTAGTAACCCATTCTGTATTTGTATTTTGGTCAATCTATTACTTTAAGCAAGATATTTGCCCCAGAATCATATACTTTGATTCTATCGTCAACCATTTTTCCATGTATTTTTCACATTGGCTTTTTTCTTAAACATACTCTTACTAACATTTTATACTAATGTTTTATTCACAAATTTGTATTAACTGGAAAACAAATGCATTATTTTAGGAGAGGGGTGGCACTATTTTTTAAAAACAGCTCTTTAAACTAATTGACTTTTCACCCAAATTTTATTTTATGGTTATTGCTATAGTTAATGCAAGCATACATTTGACATTCCAAAGTATTTATTCCCTTCTGATACTTAGATTACATTTCTTTCCCTCTTGGACTTCTTGTGATGATTGTGTGAGTCTGTTTAATAAGTGGAGTGTGCTAGCATAAGTAGAAAGCAAAATGCTACAAGGAGAACTTAATTCCAGAAATCAGGATTAACCCTACTTCTGAAAGATTCGTATTACAAAATAGTGCAATGTGCATGCTACATAACTATTGTCAAAGAAGCTCTGCCAAGGTGAAAAAAGCAACAGAGATGTTAGAGATCAGTAGATATAATGGTGAGGGACAGAACGAAAAGTACTAAAACTAAGAAGAAAATTTCACTGTTATGACTTTCAAAGATACAATACTAATATTCTTCTTCCTTAAAGACTTACACATGCCTGGTCATGTAGAATAAAGTCTTCTACATGTCTGACCATAAAGAGAATGTTACTCCTTGTCACCTTCATGGATATTCTTTAAAAATATTTGAAAATCATAACTAGTGATTTTCCTAAGTACATCCTATCTTCTGGGGCAGAATAACAACTATATAGCTGTTGAGGTTCCCTAGCATTCCATACAAAGGGTAATTTTTGTGTCAGAAATCTGATCCAGGTGGATAAAGTCTAATGAGTACAGCTATTTCGAAAGAACAAAAATCCATTCCAATGTTTTTTAGACCACTGTTTAGAATTCATTAGATTGTAGAAGTTCTTTTTCATGAAGTTGGATTCTCAAATATTCTGCTTTCTACAATTGAAGTGATTGGGGATGTTGGCCATCTTGCCATGATGCATAATCTTTTGATAGTATTACATTAGGGACTGCATGTTGTCAAAAAGTTTGTGTTATTCTCTCCAGCCAACGAATAAAGAATTAAAACTCTTTCCAGTTACTTTTACCTGTGATTGATTGATTGATTATTTTTCCTGCTGAGACTCATGGCAATTTATAATAAAGCCCATAAGCAAGCATCCATAAGCGGTTAAGATGTCATAGAATAATTCTATCCTATCACGTGTCATTGAAGAATATTCTATTCTTTGTGTTTCTGTTTCTAATACCGTGTTTCCCCAAAAATAAGACAGGGTCTTATTTTATTTTGACTCCCAAAATAAGCACTTGGCCTTATTTTGGGGGAGGTTTTATTATTTTTGAGGTGCAGGAGGTGGTGAGCATAGTTACCTCATGGCTGCTGCTGTGTTGCAATATTTTCAGGGAGGGTTTATTTTTTGGGGAAGGCTTATTTAAGCACACGCACTCAAAAGCCCGATTGGGCTTAATATCCAGAGAGGTCTTATTTTCAGGGAAACAGGGTAGAAATAAAAATAAACAAGTACGAATCCAATACCAAAAATACAAAACAATTGTGATAATGGTAATAAGAACAGAGAAAAATGAACTCATAACGAAAGCAGATACAAAAAAAGTTAACTAAAGTTAAAGGAAATTTAAATAGTGATGACAAGAACCAACTGTTTAATGAAAGGATATGTGGAAGTAGTAGAGCAGTGTTTCTCAACCTTGGGCAACTTTAAGTCCTGTGGACTTCAACTCCCAGAATCCCCCAGCCAGCTGGCTGGGGGATTCTGGGAGTTGAAGTCCACAGGACTTAAAGTCGCCCAAAGTTGAGAAACACTGTAGTAGAGCATTCTAACTTTAACAGCTTCCAGAACTTCTAGAAGGCATGAAGCAAGTTCAGATTCTAAGGGGAAGGGATAACATAAGNCCCCCCACCCAAGATGTAAAAGTAGTGGTAATTTTAACAGATTCTCTTTTCTGCAGTTGTTCTTGATTAGTTCCATTATGAGACTATAATCCTCCTGTATTTGAATTGGTGGTTTACTGCCCCTTCTATTTGAGGAATCTTCAACCAAGGTCAAATTTAAAGATAAGGCACCAGAAAATGGCAAGACAGGGGTCTTGAAGTTGTCCATCAATGGTCAATACATGAGCAACAGCCTTAGCAGGCATGGAGGTTGCCTAGTTAGCTTTCTTCTCCAAATTGAGTGGTGATCTATTTTTATTCACAGGGAAGCTATTACACACAAGTACATCTTTTAGGCAAATCTATGTTATTTTTTGTTTACTTTATTTGGGATTCGTTTCTCATTTTCTTGGCAATGGGTGATTTGCCCGTCTATTCCCTTGATCCAAACTTGTGAGTCAAGAAATTGAAAGTCAAGAAACAGACCTGAAAATGAACACACACAAAATTGAAAGGAAGCACTGACTTTTGTATGGCCCTAGCTTCAGCTGAGTTTCCATATTTTTAATATTTACTCTGTCCATACTGTTGGATACTAAATTCCTCTTGCTTTTTGAATGATTTCAATTTTGTGGCCAGGTTCTTTGTGTTTTTCATTTTTTACATCCTATTCCAACTTTGATATCTTTATTAGTCGCTTCATTTCTCTCTCTCTTCCTATCAGGTCCTCCTGGACAGTATTTTTCCTTCTTCTCTTTCTTCTCTCTCTTGTTGCAATTATGATGATTTGCATTTCTTTTTTTAACATTGATGTTGCTTTCATTTCCCCCTTCAGACATTTTCAAGCTAATGTTAATTTATGCTTAGCTCAACTGTTGTTTCATTTTGATTGGATGCCTTCTCTCAATTCTAAATTAAAAACACCAAAAACTCAAAATGCTTCTCAGTTCTTGACTTTTTTTTTTATATTGGCTTTCCCTTCGTCCACAATCTGACATGTTAAAAGGAATTTCTTTTTCCTTATTTGCATTATTACAAATTGGCATGCACCCCAGTGCCATTTTCCCATTCGTTGATTCAGTATGGACTTTGCTTGTCTGTTCTGAATAGGTTAATGCTTTCCAAACGTCCATTTGTGAGGTTGAGCAGCATGGAGACTGTGCCCTGAAAGATGCCCGGGACAAACACATCGATCTGCAAACTGCTGTACAGAAGGCCAAGGATGACTTAGCGAGGCTGCTAAGAGATTACCAAGAGCTTCTGAACACCAAGCTCGCTCTTGACATTGAAATTGCTACCTATAAGACATTGCTGGAGGGAGAGGAGACCAGGTGACTATGAATGACATTCAGTATATCCCAAATAGAATATGAAACTCCTTTGGATTCTTTTCTCTCCCTTTTCACTCATGCGACTTTGTCAGTTGAGAAGGAACCTAGTATTTCCTTGGCTATAGAGCCGAGATGGCACAGTGGTTAGAGTGCAGTACTACAGGCTCCTTCAGCTGACTCCTAATTACAGTTCAGCAGTTCAAATCTCACCATCTCAAGATTGACTCAGTCTTCCATCCTTCAGAGCAATGGTGGGTTACGGCCGAAACACCCTGGTACGGGCGTACTGGTGCCTGCTGGGAGCACAAGTACCATTCCAGTATGGTGCTTCAGAGGGCCCACCCACCCGCCCGCCCTCCTTACCTGTATTTGNCATCTGTGAGAAACCTGAATCTGAAAGCTTCCTGGGGTTCCCACCCAGTTGAAAGTTCATGATCTTGTCCCCACACCCACAAGTCCATCCCATGGGCCAATCTTCCTCTGCCACACTGGCATTTCCACCCATCTGGTTCCGCTCAGGTGCAGCAGAGGTGCGAAGACAAAGAATGACCTTGGGCTTCTAGAAAGGAATGTTTTATTTTGACAACAACACATTCTACAGTTCTACTCCTTACTATTCCCCCTCCCAATTTCCCCCTAATGAAACAGCATAGTGAAGACAGAGAGAGAGTGTGTGGGGCAAGCCAAAGATCCTAAAAGGAACCGCTGCAGGCCTGTCAGCCATTTAATGTCAGACATTTCACATGAACTTCGAAACTAGAATGAAAAAAACAACCCGGTGCCCACTAGATGTTTTGTCTGGCAACTCCCATCAACTCTTCCCTTGGTATGTTGACTTGAGGGAGAAATCTAAATGATAAACAACCAAAGGGTGCCAGGTTCTTCGTCCTAGTTATTTAATGTGATTAAAAAATAAAGGCTTTTCACCTGTAAATAGGTAAAAGGTGTTGATTTCATTTGCAATGGATTATCTATCTTATTAACCAGAGGGCCTGTTCAGTTCTGCAGCTTTTGGGTTTAGCAAGGTGGTTCCATATGAAATTCAATCTACGCATCTTTGCTACATTTCCCTTTTGATGTTTTTGTATGCATTTCCATTTCTTCCATGCTTAAATATATTCTTGCACACATTTTCCCTTCCAGCAGGTGTTCTGACATTCTGAAAAATATATATTTCAACAAGCAATGAGTATTTTGGCTCTTTGTATCTATTTAAAAAGTAAAGTTTTCTTGGAGTTGAGCAAGGCTCCTAGTAACTTCACGGATACATACTGAACAGGTAGGGTTTCATGGTCATAGGACAGAAGGGGATTTTCATTGTCTTCAAGCAAGAGTTTTCCCTGACTTTTCTAGCCTATTCCATGGGGAATTTCATGGTAGACTATCATCCACGGAAGTGGTGAAATGTAAAACTTTTTCCTACCAGTTCTGTGGGCGTGGCTTGGTGGGGGTTTTTGAATTTGAATTTTGAATTTATTTGTTATTTATAGGCCGCCCTTTTCCCTGAGGGGACTCAGGGTGGCTTACAGTTCATGGGAAGGGGGGTGCAAGATAAAACAT